TTTTTTTTTTTTTTTTTTTTTTTTTTTTTTTTTTTTTTTTTGGCTTTATGATAATAATTTCTCATATTATAATAAATTAGAAATTTTTACTAATAAAAACTGTACTTTTTTATTAAAATATAAAGTACATTCAAATATAAAGTACAGTCAAATTGATATATTTATATACAATTAAAATTTTTGTATACATTTCATTGAAAAATTCATTATTGTGACTACTATACAGGTAAAAGATAATTTTTTCTGAAAAAATAAAAAAAAATTTAATACATATTTTTCATTTAAAATTTCATTTTTGAGAAAACCGATTTTAAAAATTATTCAGATATGCAAAGGAAGTATAAAAACTTGGCTATTCTTGCCATTTCATTATGCCATTCTATTATTTTTATTTACATTAGTATTTATAAACATAATAATAATAATTTTGTAGATTGAAATAGCAAAAAGTGTTTCTGGATATTATTTATTATTTATTTAATTAGAATTAGTTAAAAATCTCCGTTACCGCATACATAATTTTTTTCTAATGAAAAAAGATGATTGAATACAATGAAATTTTACAAATTATATTATTTTTTAATATTTCAAAAATTTTTTATTTTATTTATTGTTTATTACATATGGATTATCTATTTTTTGTTTGTTTATATATAAATAATGGTAAAGAGATATAAGAAATGAAAATAAAGAGTTTACATTAAAATTTAGCAACTTTGATGACCAATATATTTTTTCCACCATAATCGATCTATCATAAATACTTTTACTTTAGGAAATTTATTGTTTTTTTAAAGTATTAAAATTTTGTTGTAATATAAAATACAAAAATAAAAAATAAATAATCCAAAAAAACACTTTTTGTTATATATTACTAACTATAGTATCATCAGTGCTTATAAACATTAATTTGAATAGAAACAATTAATAACACGATAATATGTAATTAAAAAATTATATTCATTGAAATTGTTTATAAATTTTCAAAATTAATTTTTTTTCTTATAGAATCATTATTAACTTATAATATGATTATCGGTTCATACTGAATATTGCATAATTATTAAAACTTTTACGAAATATATTTTTTTATTTATCACATATTATAATAAATCATATATTCGCATATTTTAATTTTTCAATTTTAACTTTTATTCATTTTCCTATGCAATCAAACTTTTATAAATTATATTTGTATTTTATTGTAGTAATAAAAAAATTTGAATAATAAGTATCTCTATACTTAAAATATTTTACAGATATTTATTCTAATTATATTTTTCTATATTTTGTTAAATTAGAACTTTTTAATGTAGGGTAATATACATCTTTTAAATACAATAATAAATCATATATTATATATATTATATATATTTTTATAAAATTCTTATGAAGAAAATACAATTGAATTTTATATAAAATAAAATTAACGTATATATTATACGTTAAGAATAAATATATATATATTAAGTTATCTAAAATAGATAAATATTGAAATTACTGTACTGTACAAGAAAAATGTACAAATATACAAATGATATTAATATCATATCATTTTTAATATTTTTTTTACTTATTTTTTTCAAGATAAACACTTTTCTTTTAAGTGTTTGCAATAATTTTTAATATGTTTCATAATAAATTTTTACTTCTCTAGATTTTGATAATATTGTGCAAGAACAATCCACGCTTTGGATGACATAAAGCCATCAGGTGGATTTTTACCTGCTTTTGCTAAACCTATAAAAAAACATTATATATGTTTTAAACACTAAACTTCTATTTTTTTATTAAATCAAGTTTTTAATTTTATATTAAATAATAGATGTTCTTTTTTAGAAATATAATATATAAATAAGCATTTTATATACATATGTATGTAATATACATATATATATTATTATACATACAACGCATTTTTGTCCCTGATATAAATTCAAAATCTTCTTTTCGTTTCTCATCAAAGAAAGACATTTTTTTATATTTTTTATCATAAGCTGCAACTTTAAATGGTATGATTTCTAGTGATTGTAAACCTCGAGCTATTGAGAGAACTCTGGCTCCATGAGTAGGATCATAAAGATTTCCATCTGGTGTTGCATTTCTATTAGGATGTGGTATACCAGCAGGATCTCTTCCAACAATATAAAAGTTAGCACCAGCATTCATTCTGGCCTTTGCATGCCATTGTACCTAATAATAAATAAAATGAATGTAAAATTCATTGAATGAATTTTATGACATATTATTATATAGAATTTTTTACAAGATAACAATATAATTTTAAAATCTCAATCAATAAAGTTATATAATTCTATACATTTTTGTTTTTATTATAAATTTTAATATATATAAAATTATAAAAAAATATTTAATATTATTAAATTATTAGTTTCTTTTTATTGTATTTCTTATAATAAAATTTAA